CATTATTATTATTATAATTATTATTCCTGTTACTAGCATCATTATTGTATCTATATCTATATCTACATCTGCATTTACATATCTGATATCTGATATCTGATATCCATCTATATCTATATCTACATCTACATCTCTCTCTCTCTCTATCTCTCTATCTATCCATATATCCATCTATCTATCTACCTATCTACCTATCTACCTATCTACCTACCTACCTACCTACCTATCTATCGATCCATCCATCCATCCATCCATCTAATATGAATATTAGTATCTAACATCTCACATCTATCTATCTATATAATATCTAAGATCTAATATATCTATATCTACATGCCCGAAACCACGACATTTCTGAGCCATGCCGCCCAGCGACTCGGCCACGCCACCGGTGGTGCTGATACAGGAGGAGATCGATGAATGGTGCCCTGCCAGGGGATTTGAACAGGCAACAACTCATCAACTCCCCATCAACAAGTGGGATTTTAGCTATGAAAAAAGAAAAGTGGGAGTTTCTTTTAAATTTGAAGAAAACTATGAAAAACCAGCAACAAGTGGGATTTTAGCTATGAGACCATGGGGATTTGGCTGATTTCATAGGGGATTGAACTTTCGACAACTAGGAATTTGAACAAAACTAAGGATTTTAACCAACAAAAAGTGGTGAGTCTACTGATTTTAACCATGAACAAAGGGCAGTTGATGATTTGAACGATGAAAGCCATGGATTAGGGATTTTAGGCAACACCAAATTGGGCAGATATTTGTAGCATTTTTTGGCACCATTGGGGATTACAAGTAGGGATTTACCTATGAAAATTGGGGAGCTCATGGGGATTTCACTATCAAGAACTAGGGATTTGAACAAAACTGTCAATGCTGGCTGCAAAAATCTGCCATTGATGAGTTTCCCATTCTCAACCGTGCGGATTTTGCCCATTTTTGGCTGGGATTCATTTACCGAGGCACCAAAAACTCAAGTGGCAGAAGGAATTGAATGAGCAGACCGAACATCGCCTTCAGCGTGAGGGCATCTTCTGGCACGATAAGCGGTTGGATGGGCTCAGCGATGATGACAGGCTGGTGGCTGGTCCTTCTGGGAGGTGGAGATTTTTGGGCGGAATCTTCGATTTTTTCAGAAGTGAAGTGGTTATCTGAGTCAAAGCTGGTGCCACATGTTTTTTTTTCCCGAGATTTTTCGGGTACTAGCATCCAATCATGTGGGGCTCAGTTTTGACCCATACTCAAGTGACAACAAGTTCAAGAGATCAGCAAGAGCTAGATATCATTAGATGTAAGAAACTAGTGGCTTGATACAACGATTTGGTAGGGGGGTATGCTATATCTGTAGTAAAATATCCATAGCCACCTTGATCCAGTAACAAAAAGGAAAGACTAGGGGGTTGATACACCGATTGTCCGGACTGCACCCTCGAAACTCACATGAACTCGGAAGAGACCTTTGCTCGGAAGCAGAGATGGCTCTCATGAAACCTTTCGAAACTCACGGCCGGTTAGCCTCTGGTTTAAGATTCAGCTATGGAAACCATGGCCCATTGATGTATAGATATTTATGGCTATCATCTTGATGATATTTATAGATGAGAGCTGCGGCAGGATGTGGGAGATCATCAAAATGAGCTTCCGGCAGGTGGCACAAGTTCTCGCCAGTGCCTGGACACCGGAAACCTAGGGATTTCCATGGATGTCTTAGGATTTCAATGGACCAAGGATAGGGCTTTCGGTCAATTTGCCCACTCATCCAATGAATATTTGAATATTGGGTGAAAAATGTTGCTCCTAGGCTGCGATCTGAGTATTGTGAGCAATGGGAGATTTTTGGTCTTCAGCGGTAAAACAATTGATGTGTCGGAATATCCAATCTTGACCCATACTCCATGAGGAAGTCGGATGCATTCGATGGTGGGAGATGAAGTTTTTTCAAGATGAATCGGAAAGACATGTGGGTCCGAGTTGACACTTCTGGTGGTTGGAAACCATCTTTTTCCTGACTTAAAATTTCGAAAGCTCCCAACCTTTTGCCGTTGGTCACTGGGCAGGTGTTGGGCTGGTTCACTTCTTCGAATACTTCCTGCAGCGTGGGATTTTGGGTGCCAAGCATTTGAGGTTGCTCACTTTGCGCCTTGGATCGGGTCTTGAAACTCCCAGTCCAGCCATAAAGATGATGAATCCCCATGGCAATTTTGGATGTGGATCACCTGGATGCTGCATCCCCAACGGGAACTTTTCGACATCCTTTTTGGACGTCAACCGAAGTGCATCTCCGCATGTGAATTGCTGCAGCATGCTGCACCCAGGAAGTACGTGGAGACTAAGATGCCGGAGATCCGAGATGCAGAGGACCGACGCCTTATCGTGGAGGCTGCGGCCGAGTGCATGCAGGATGAGGACAGGGCGCTTGGCGCCATGGATACGAAGTTTTTGGGTGAGTTGATCAGCAAAATAAGAGAGATTTGCCAACAAAAATTGAAGGAACATCGGTATTTCATGCGAGAAGGAGGGAAGATGATGGGATGTTTTTCGGCAACTTAATATGATGTGCATGGGTTTGTCTGAACATCGGGGATTTTGCACCTTTAGTAGTACGTTTTTTTCGCATCAAAACATCCCTCCATTGAGATGTTGTCATAGGTTTGTGGTCACTTCCTGCTGTCAAACTTTGCTTGAAAAAGGTTTGCGTCTCTCTTTCCTGGTGAAAACCTGGCTTTTCAGTGGGTTTTTACTGAGTTTCCAGTGGGTTTCATGGCTGGAGCTTTGCCTCGAGGAGATGCGTTTCTTTGAAGCCAGATATGGTGACATCGACCGGTCCTCCGGTGTATGGCGAGATGGGAAAGGAGGGCTATTTTTTTTTTTTCGCGGCAGGTTTTGGATTTTTTTTTGGGTTCCTGGTTCTATGCTTCCCTGTTTCTCTGATTTTCTGCTTTTCTGCTTCTCTGCTTTTCTGCTTCTCTGCTTTTCTGCTTCTCTGCTTTTCCTGCCTCTCTGCTTTTCTGCTTTTTGCTTTTCCTGCTTCTTTGCTTTTCTGCTTCTCTGTTTTCCCTGCTTCTCTGCTTTTTTACTTCTGTGCCTTTCTACTTCTACTATTCTACTTTTTCTTTTCTTCAGTCATGTGTTTTTGCTGCTCCACTTCCTGCTGCTTTGCTTCTTTGCTTCCTGTCTTTACCGTCTCTTTGTTTTTCATGTTCTTTTGCTTTATTCTGTTCTGTTTGTATCCTAAATGAAACCCTAGAGAGACCCTAGGTGAAACCCAAAGAAACCCTAAAGAAAACCTGATAAGAAACCCTACATGAAGCCCTAAATGACCCCTAAAGAAACCATAAATGAAACCCTAAAGAAACTTTAAATGACACCCTAAATGACATCCCAAAGAAACCCTAAACAACACTCTGAAAAAAAACTAAATGAAACCTTAACTGACACCTTAGCTGAAACCATACTTGACACCCTAAAGAAACCCTAAATGAAACCCTAAATGAAACCCTAAAGAAACCCTAAATGAAACCCTAAAGGAACCCTAAATGACACCCTAAATGAAACCCTAAAGGAACCCTAAAGGAACCCACTTGAACGTTTAGAAATCGTGAAAAGAAATCCTGATAAGAAACCCTGGAATGAAGCCCTAAAGAAAGCTTAAATGAACTCCTCAATGAAACCCTAAATTGAAGCCCTAAATTGAAACCCTAAAGAAACTCTAAATGAAACCCTAAAGAAACCTTAAATGAGACCCTAAATAAAACCCAAACTGAAACCCTAAATAAACCCTAAATGAAAACCTAAACGAAGCCCTAAAGAAACCCTAAAGAAACCCTAAAGAAACCCTAAATGAAACCCTAAAGAAGCCCTAAAGAAACCCATTTGAACGCTTAGAACTCCTGATAAGAAACCCTGATAAGAGACCCTACATGAAACCGGAAAAAAAACCCTAAATGGAACTCTAAAGAAACCCGAACCCTAAAGAAACCCTAAAGAAACCCTAAATGAAACCCTAAATGAAACCCTAAAGAAACCCTAAATGAAACCCTAAATGAAACCCTAAAGAAACCCTAAATGAAACCCTAAATGAAACCCCAAATGAAGCCCTAAATAAAACCCTAAATGAACCCCCAAATGAAGCCCTAAATAAAACCCTAAATGAAACCCTTAATGAAACCTTAAATGAAACCCTAAATGAAAGCCTAAAGAACCCTCAAGAGACCCACATGAACGTTTGAAGCACCAAAATGTAGCAAATACCATGCAAATGAGAGGTTGAAATGCCAAAATATGACAAATACCATGCACAATGGAAGGCAAATATGGCCAAATGTAGCAAATACCATGCAAAATGCAAAGTGACCATGCCAAAATGTAGCAAATACCATGCAAAATGACAGGTTCTAGTTCCAAGCTGTTGCAAATACAAGGCAAATGGTACCGGGACAGAAAGCCAAAAAAAAATCCAACACCTGAGGCAAAACAAATCCAAAAACTATTCTGCACCCGATGGGAAAATCATCTATAAATAATGGGAGATAAATCATGATCCAATTCTGAAGTCTCTCCGAAGCAATGTCACCACTTGTCTGGGACGCAACCCGTCAAGACCTTTGGGTTCATGATACAATTACAGGATTTACCACAGGATCTCTGATTCTTGGACACTGTCAATGACTGGGTGAGATGACGTTTGAATCAGCAAAATGGATCGAGCTGTTGTGTTGAGTCTAAGGGACACTAGACCGAAAAGCAATGGATTTTGCCGATGAAATAAATCGAGTTTCAAATTGGTTGGTTACCGAGGGCCAGGGAATACCGAGGACCAGTGATGGGTTCCACACGAATGTTGTGTCCGGTGACAATGGGTTCCTACGATATGGTGAACATCTGAATACAAGAGGAGAGCTTGGGGATATTTCATTCTTACTCTTTATGGCATTATGACATCCTGCCGGGGTTTTGATATTCCAGGGACCCGGTTGATGCCAATGTTCCAACATGCGACTTTTCCCTTTAACCTATCTGGAGTACGGTATATGTTCTATGTTTCATATTTTTTGGACCCTACCCTGCTGGAAACCATCGCAGACATCGAAACTCCACCACCCTTCCCGAAAGAAAAGGGGTGGCTGTTCCGTATGTCGGTTTACTGCAGGTTTGGATACTAGTTTCTTTTTGATGTTCATTTCTTCCCTCTATGACTTTCCAACTTTTCACCAAGGGCTTGAACCTGGCTTTCCATTTCCGCAAATTGGAACGGTGACCCTTGAGGTTGATCTTGGACTCACAGCATGCTCGGCGCTTTCTTTCTGAAAAGCTCCTTCATGCGACTGGGATGCGGCTGAGGGTTGGGATGGTTGGGGTATGTTGGGGTTGTGGTGACTTCGACCAACCTGAAATTCAGGGGGTCAGCATCCTCGATGCCCCAGGAACAGTGGATGATTGATCAATACGACCTCACCGCACCATTGCATGCAGAGACGAACAGTTCGGATGACCCAGAGCTGGGGCTGGCACCTTGCGGGGGCTGCGAAGGACTCAATCCTCCCACTCAAATTGCCATTAAACACTTGGGAAAATGATGATCCGAAAATCGCGATTTTTAGCAACCTGTTGCTTGGAGAGATTTATACATATTTATAATATGCTCTAATTAATTAGTGTGGTAAACCCAGTAATAAACCATCCCCAAAATCACAATGACTTCTGGATTGTATAAACCATGCCCAAATCGTAGGTTTATGGCATTGGGTTTCCCACATTGCTGTTATTGTACTTATTACTAGCAATGCTGTGGATGGAAGAAATCTTGCACCACCAAAAGGATGGTTGAAACCCTATAAATGATGGGCTGTTTACCATCGTTCAACCGTTGCAGCCCTTCAGATTCGGCCTTGGCGCCCAGGCTTCTTCACCAAGTGGACCGTGCCGCGGGCAGATTTTGCGTCCTTCGATCAATACGAATCTCATCTCAGTATCGTTGAATGTTGATGAGTACCCCAGGTCAAGGGGTCTCATCTTAGATCTCAGCTGGTCTGTAAAATCCCAATTCGGAAGAATGAAATATCCCGATTCCCGATATCCCAATTTCGTAGCGTGCATCCCGTTCCACCACCTAACCCAGTTTTCCCGGAAACAATGGAGATCAAGCCATGAATCTTCATTGCAATGGTCTTTTTCGAATGTTTATATTAAAGATAGAAAAGTGATGTCCTAGTAACCTTTAGTGACAATTATATATATATATACATTCATATATATATATATAATTATATATATATATACAAACATTTTTTTTGGGGTTGAAATATCTATAACCACCAGGATAATAGAACGCTTGGTAAATCAGATTTCGGAATTCCCAGTTCATGGATTGTGAAAAAGCTCAATACATTGCCATGGAGAGGCATAAATTTTCATGGCCATCGTTTTCCATTGCCTTCGTCTGAAAATAGGGTGCTGCTGCTGTAAATCCCAATGGCTATTCGGCTAATCATCGTTTTCCTTGTTCAAAATTAGAACTTGGAAGCCTCGATTTCCAGACTGACCCAAACTATCAATATGGTAGTCAAAGATGAGGAACATTGACCGTTTGGTTCAATGATTTTCCCATTACAACCTGATAAAGTTTGCAGATTTCCGAGGTAGCCATGTTTGCTGGCACTGAAGGGTACTTTCCCAGTTATAAGTTGGAAGTGGGTTTTTAACACCCCATTAACTATATAAGCATATTTACCATAGTTATACTGGTTGAGTTTGTATTATACCCATGAAACTCAACTATTGCTAGTGAAAAAAAACCATCCCACACACATATCTATCTATCTATCTATCTATCCATTCATCCATCCATCCATCCATCCATCCATCTATCCATCTATCCATCTATCCATGTATCCATCTATCCATCTATCTAACTGACTACCTATCTATCTATCTATCTACCTATCTATCTATCTATCCATCCATCCATCCATCTATCTATCGAACTGACTACCTATCTATCTATCTATCTACCTATCTACCTATTTATCTACCTATCTATCTATCTATCTAGCTAGCTAGCTATCTATCTATCTATCTGTCTATCTATCTATCTATCTATCGATCTATCTATCTATCTATCTATCTCATGATAATAACCCTGATAGCAACAGTAATAGTAATAGTAATAGTAATAATACCAAGAACAGTAACGATAACCAGAACAATAACTAGAACAGTAATGACACTAGCAAAAAAAACTATTAATAACAATAACAATAATATCAATAAAAATAAACATAACAGCAATAACAATAATAACAATAACTACAATAACGACAATACCAACAACACTAATACCAATAATAACAACAATAAAAATAATGATATAACAACAATAACAATAGCAATAAAAATGATACTACTATTATGAATGCAAAAACAATACTACTAATAATACTAATAACAATACTAATAATACTAATACTACTACTAATACTAATAATATTGATAATACGAACACTACTAATAATACTAGTAATACTAACAATACTAATAATACTAATAATACTAACAATACTAATACTAATAATACTAATAATACCAAAAATATAAATAATACTAAAAATACTAATAATACTAACAATATTAAAAATACAAATTCTACTAATACTACTAATAATACTAATTATGCTGATAATACGAACACTTCTAATAATACTAAAAATACTAATAATACTAATAATATCAATAATGCTAATACTACCAATACTACTCCTAATACTAATAATATTAAAAATACTAATAATACTAATAATACTGATAATACGAACACTACTAAGAATGCTAATACTACTGATAATACTAATAATACTAGCAATACTAATAATACTAATATTACTAACAATACTACAAATACTAAGAATACTAATACTACTAAAAATACTAATAATACTACTAATAATAATATTAGTAATACTAATAATACTAATATTACAAATAATACTAATAATACTAACAATACTAAAAATGCTAGTAAAATTAATAATAGTAAACATACTAATAATACTAATAATACTAAAAATATTAATAATACCAATACTCCTAATACTACTAATGCTACTAATACTACTAATACTACTAATAATACTAATAATGATACTACCAATATTAATAATACTAAAACTACTAATAATTCTAATAATATTAATAATACTAATACTACTACTACTACTGCTACTACTACTACTACTAATACTACTAATAATACTGATAATACGAACACGAATAACAATACTAAAAATAGTAATAATATTACTAATATCAATAATGCTAATACTACTAATACTACGAATACTACCAATAATACTAATAATATTAATATCACTAATACTACTAATAATACTAATTCTAATAATATTAATAATACTAATACTATCAATAATGCTAATACTGCTAATACTATTAATAATACTAATAATATTAATATTACTAATACTACTAATAATACTAATACTAATAATATTAATAATACTAAATATATTAATAATACTAATACTATCAATACTACTAATAATACTAATAATATTAATGTTACTAATACTACTAATAATACTAATACTAATAATATTAATAATATTAATACTATCAATAATGCTAATACTGCCAATACTACTAATACTACTAATAATATTAATATTACTAATACTACTAAAAATACTAATACTAATAATATTAATAATGCTAATCCTATCAATAATGCTAATACTGCTAATACTACTAATAATACTAATAATATTAATATTACTAATAGTACTAATAATACTAATACTAATAATATTAATAATACTAATACTATCAATATCAATAATGCTAATACTGCTAATACTACTAATAATACTAATAATATTAATATTACTAATACTACTAATAATACTAATACTAATACTAATACTAATACTATCAATAATGCTAATACTGCTAATACTACTAATAATACTAATAATATTAATATTACTAATACTACTAATAATACTAATACTAATAATATTAATAATACTAAAAATATTAATAATACTAATACTATCAATAATGCTAATACTGCTAATACTACTAATAATACTAATAATATTAATATTACTAATACTACTAATAATACTAATACTAATAATATTAATAATACTAATACTATCAATAATGCTAATACTGCTAATACTACTAATAATACTAATAGTATTAATATTACTAATACTACTAATAATACTAATACTAATAATATTAATAATACTAATACTATCAATAATGCTAATACTGCTAATATTACTAATAATACTAATAATATTAATATTACTAATACTACTAATAATACTAATACTAATAATATTAATAATACTAATACTATCAATAATGCTAATACTGCTAATACTACTAATAATACTAATAATATTAATATTACTAATACTACTAATAATACTAATACTAATAATATTAATAATACTAATACTATCAATAATGCTAATACTGCTAATACTACTAAGAATATTAATAATATTAATATTACTAATAATACTAATAATACTAAAAATACTAATCCCCAGGAGGATTGGGTGGCCGCCAGCAGCTGTGATGGCATGCTGTTTCTCTGGCCCATCATCGAGGGAGATCGCACGCCACCGGTCGTGAGGCTGGGGAGCTGTCAACCATGGCTGGGACAGTTCGCAGGTTTTTCCATGGGAAATTGGATTTATAGGGATTTAATGGGATTTTACAGTGATTCAATGGGATTTTATAGTGATTCAATGGGATATGAATGGGATTTATAGTGATTCAATGGGATATGAATGGGATTTATAGTGATTTAATGGGATTTTATAGTGATTCAATGGGATATGAATGGGATATACCCTCTGGTAAATAAACATAGACCCTGAAAATCACCAATTTCTAATGGAAACTAATCTTCCAACCCCTATCTGCCAGGGTCGAACTGTTAATTTACCAGAGGGTATGGGATATATTGGGTATATCCATTTGGAAGTTCCGTTTGAATCCATCATCCATTTATTGGATTTACCATCTGGTTATTCAACATAGCCATGGAAAATCACCATGCTATTAGTAGGTAAACCATCTATTTCTATGGACCATCTATACCATAGCTATGTTAGTCATAACCAGAGGGTAACTTCCCCAGAAATGGAGGCAAAAATCATGGGACATGTTGATTTATAGATCTATGATTTTCCAGCCATAATTACCGGAGGGTATTTTGCATATATTTGGGAGATGACAGTTGATTTAGATACTATTTTATGGGTTTACCAGGGTGCCAGGGTTTTGTCCCATAGCCATTTAGGACCATTGATGACTTGGAACTTGTACTGGGGATATAATCGAAATCAAGGGGGTTTACATCGCCAGTCCACCACAAATGATTTCATTATTTAAGATTGTTTTGCAACCTGATTTTTTTTTTTCACATTCTTGGATTTTGTCATGGTTTGATTCCTCACTTCCTTTTTGGACAAAACAGCATTGAGGAATACACTCATGTTTGCTGTACCTTGCCGACCGGTCTGCATCCAGTGACACGCAAACCTTGCAAGCTGTGTCTTCACAAATGGAGGTTGAATGGGAAAATAGTCGAACTAAATGGTGAAATTGTCCATTGCCATGTTTGATTACCGGGGGTAAACATCACTCCCCTTTCCCCATTTTCGTTGTGGCGGAGGTGCAAATCGCTTCATTCCGCCCCCTGCGTAGATTTCGTGATGGACTGGTCTCTTGGGCTGAAAGATTGGACTTGGACTGTGTTTATGCTTGGTGAGGGATTAGGGAGATTTATGGAGGACTATGATATCTGATAATGTTTCAATGATGAGAAAACTTTTTTTAAAAGCCGCCCCCCACTTTTTTTGTTGGGATAGCTATTAAAACGTTAGCCATGCTGGCATGATCTTCTTGACACAAGCAAGAGGTCCAGTTAGCGTAGAGTTCGTGTTGGCTTGTGTCTGATTGTGCCGGGAATCATTCAGAATGTTGAAGAGAGGCGGACTTGTCTGAAAACTTAGGGGAACACGTCCACATGTGGCGCTTGTCATTATTTGCCCGGACATGGCCAACATTTACGGGTGAATTCCGCCATTTTCAGACACAGCGAAGTTCTGCTTGGATGGTCCGACAAAGGCGAGTTGTTGATGGTGACTGTAGAGTCACAGGAACAAGACAAGAAACAAGGAAAACAAGTACACGATTCCCCTGATATCATCTAGTAGTATTGTATAGTATTATATATATATTATAATACACACATATTTATATATATATATATATGTATACACACACATATTTATTTATATATATATATTTACATCCTTTATCATAGCCTTCCGATCTTCCAAGGAATCGAATGGAGGCCGTCACCTGTGGCCTTGACAACAAGGCACGGCTGGGTGGAAGTGCAGAGCCTCCAAGTCATGAACAGATTGTATGGTATATCACCAGTTATATAATATACATATGGTACCCCCCCCAAACCTAGCTTTTTTTCCTACTTTTCTGCTATTTTCCGTATTTTTTCGAATACATATATGCATGCACATATGTATATATATATATATAGGTGTAAACAGGTTACGTATGATATAGCTTATCATCCACTTCCTGTGATCCAGATCCAAGTAGTTGAAACGATGGGTAGGAAAAGTGGTGCGCTTCGCCTTGTGGGGCGCCCGCCTGAGGTGAATCTCTACAATTTAAAGGAGCCGGGGATCGCCTGGGAGCCGGGCGCAGGTCCCAACATTTTGAAACGGCAAAGCCATGGAGCCATGGAGCCATAGAATGGGGAGATTGCCGCAGGAGAACGAGGTGGTCTCTACGTTCCGGGATGGGAGGGATGGCAACGACGCCCAAGTCTTTCTGTGCGTAGATCTCTGGGTCCATCGGAGGTTTGGGGGGACGGGGAGATCAACCAACGAAACCTGTGGGAGATCAAATTATCGGGGTCTTGCGGACCATTTTCACCCTTCAATTTGTGGATATGACTCTGACTTGGGTCAGAACGTCAAGGGGGGTCCACCGAAAATGTGATGATTCCGGTGATGAGGAATGGTCGAGTTGGCAAACTCCAGGCATTTGCCATTTCTCCCAGCAAGATTGATTCATATCCCATGATTTTTCCATGTTTTTTTCCCAGTTTTTTGCCATTTTTCCCATTTTTCCCATGGTGAAGTCCCAGCGTTCCCCAAGGACGCCCAGCTGGAGGGTGCTGGCCTTGCAGCGCTGGGCACGAACTTTGGAAAGGTGAAGGTTTTGGATCTGCAGAGGATGCAACTCGTGACGTGCCCTGCTGGGCCTGGGCCATCCTGGGCCATGGGTTGGGGGGTCCATCCAGATTTGGGGAGCTATGAAGAATGTGGATTTTCTCCATCCAGATACGCACAATGGCATGATACACTAGTGGGAGTGTGATGATACACTAGTCACTAATAAATCTTAACGAATTTGGCATAACCCCCCAGTTTTGGACAAATCCATTTGAAGAGTTGTTGGTCCCGATCCTTTTCTGTATTGATCCTCAATAGTATTGCAGGCAGGTTTCCATTTTTTCTACCTATCTTTGAGTTGCTATACATGATAGTCTGATCGTCGATGTTCCTACGAAAGTTGTAAGTTTCCGATTGATTCGATCCCATTTGGATGCGGATGGGACAACGAATCAGTGGATGCTGCAGGTCGCTTCTGGGACATTCAGATCACTGCAGGGTGCCTTGCTTTAACCACGATTTTTTTCGCTGCGAACCACTGAACCACTGGGTTACTCATGTTCCGACATGCCCAACATTTTCCGTGATCGGAACAAGAGGAACAGGAAAAAATGCAACTACAATAACTACATCATCACAACAAGAGAAATCCCAGATCACAAGTTGCAAACGAGAAAAAGACACGGCTGCCCACGAACCACTGGGGTTGCTGCCCGCCCTCACGAACCCCCTTAGGCATTGTCGGTGGACTGGGAACGGCGCTTGCTGGTCTCCTGCTCTTGGGACAGCTATGTGCACCTCTATGTGACGTGGCCGACGTGGCGTTTTTTCAGGGTGGATCATGTTGGGTTTACCCAATAGCAAACCATCCCAATTTCACCGTGGGTATTGGAGGTTTCTGGCATTGATGGGATTCAAGCATCCAATGCCACCAGAGTCACCAGAGCAAGATGCAGGGAGCCGCCATGTTTTGAGGGGATTACCCTCAACCAAACGTGGCAATGTCCCATTTACCTGGCGGATTTCGAATTTCCCTGTTTGATTCCCAGAGGGTTTTTTGGCTGTTGAAGTTGGTGGAAGTTCAACCCGTTTCATTTTTTAAAGCAACTGAGTTTCCAACTCACCGTTAACCTCCAACAACCACATACCCTCAAACAAACTAAGAAATGGAGTGAATACCAGAGGCAAACATGGAGTGAATACCAGAGTCAATCATTCTTAATTTGTGAGTTAATTCTTCAACTAATCCTTCAGGAGACATTTCCAAACAATTTGCCACTTGGAGATTTTTTTCTAATGGAAATGATGAACTTGTATATCTATATTAGTTCAGAGGAATCAATAAATGCTCCCTCGTTTTGCCATTGAAGTTGGTGTAACCGAAACTGCGGAATTTGAAGCACTGGATTTGTACAGCCTTTCTTCAGCGATTGATGAACGAGCCTCTCAGGGTCTCATTTTTTTGAAAGTGAAGAACCTGGCTTTGCTTAAGCTGAAATATTTTGGTTTCCGAATGGGTGTCTTCCACCAATTGGGGAATCTATCTATCGGGAAGATGCCCCTTTTTTAAGCAAATCCCAGTGGGTGAAACAATACCCGAAGAGGCCACCAGTTGCGAAACTTAGGATCTCCGATCTTCCAAGCTGGTCCAGCGCTTCGAAGGACACAATGGCAATTGCCCCTGGGCGTTCCAAGTCATGCCAAATGGCATGCCAAAAGGCATGCTTTGGCCATTAAAACATGGGGAAACTATGGGACAATTCGGTTTTAGACTATGATGGTTTCAAATTTTCAGACAACCCCATCTAAAATGCCTGTAATTAAGGAACTTTTAAATCCGAAGGACATAAATACTTGCACAGTGGTGTATTTGAGATTCATTAGAAGGCGGAGTATATATGCAGTGAAATCGCTCTCCTGCAGCTTAACGCTAGATTTGTGCTAGTGTGGCGCTAGATACTTTTACATAGCCACTCAAGTGAAACATAGTCAGGCTCGATGCTTTCTTTCCCTCTTGCTTTCTTGCGCCTGTTGTTCCCAGTCCTGCTTTCCTTGGGCAACTCCACAGTAGCCTTACTTGGAACTGAAGCTTGGAGCTGAAGTTGTGTCGGAGGACCTGAAGCTTGACCTTGAACGGGAACCATTGCCAGAGATGCCTGTTGTTCAGGCCGAATTGCACAACTTCGCCTCGGTTCTCATCTTGTTGACGGCTTGCTTCGGGACAATCATGTTGTCGACACTTGCAGTCGGCTCAGTTCATCCAGACTATCAGGCGTCGGATGCATGCGTTTCGCTTTGATGACGAAAGTTATTTCAACATTGCGTGTCTGGCGAGCTTGATCCAGTGGACGGCTACGTGCTTGCAATCTTGATGTTTTTTTTTTCCATTTTATCAGGCACAATGAAGGCCTTGTAGCCATTTTGCGTTTCGATCGTCGCGACTATTGATGGTGCAAATAACGTTCGCGTAATTTCAGTGTGTAATGTTTCAAATACCTCTTGTTATCAGTCACGTGCACTGACACTATGTCGACACAGGTTGTGTTTGTAGTGCCTCTGTGATGGTCAAGGGGCCTTGGCGCTTTTGGTGTTGTGGCTTGCTTGAGACTGATATAGTTGCCACCTTGTCAGTACGGATGCCTGTGTTTGGCTTCCTGGCCACCTGTGCCATTTGCTGGGTACCCCCACCTGGGAAGGGGCTTAGCAAAGCGTCGTTGAATTCCGTCAAAAGTTGGGTTGTGCATCAATATTGGGGGATGGTCATTAATCCAATCATAATAGGGATTATTCGCATTAGAAGGATTTCCACTATGGGTGGATGATCACACCCAATATATATATATAATTATATATATATATATTTATTTCATTTCATGATGTACTTATATACCACGAAACTTGACCACACGATGGCGGTTGGTTGGATAAGTTCAACCACAACGGGCGCCACAGAGCGCTTTTGCTAGGAGGACCTATTTCTTCACCGAACCCAACATGAATAGAGAAACCCAGATCCAATAATACCTGACCACAATTTCAAGGGATATTTCATATTTGCGGGGAAGGAATTATTCAGTTCTTTCGTTCCTGAAGGTGCTTGCACGGGAGTTGCTACCCAGTAAGTACACCATTAATCATTCCCAGATTGGATTTGAGGGACTACCCCAATCTTTAGCCATTAAAACAAGCGGGCTCTGTAGGCTGTAGATTCTCCCTCAGAGAGGAGGCAGAACACCCGGCGCGCTTTGGCTATGTTGCTCCCCCTCTCAATCAACTTTCTCCTCTTTCGGACCTCCAGTTTGCGGATGATACTATCCTCATTGCCAACTCAGCGGAACTGTCTAGCAGGATGTTACATGACATGGGTTGCCCGGCAAAATGTGAGCATTTAGCTTTTAATAGTGAACAACGGGTTTATTTTCGATCAGGGGACGATTTATGTCAATGTCAGTGTTGTTGCTGTGGTGGAAGAGACAAGTACCCACAGTGCGTGAAGTCAACTATCGCGGCGTAAAAAAATGAAAATACAAGCGGATCTTTTAAATTCTTTGCTAATAGGATTTCCAAAGCTTCCACCGTTGCCTGGATGCTTGTCCTTTTTTTTCCGTTCGCGATTGGTTTCAACAACGTTTGGTATCTGGGTATACCAAGCAGTAATACAAAGTATATTATAATACTCTACTCCTTGAAATCAGTTGTTCCGAATGCGGCCCAAAACGCCCGCCTCAATGCGGTGCATGTCAAGGTGCTACGGCAAATAGTTGATATTTAGGCATTTTTTTCCATAGAGTAGTTGCCCCTTCAGAAGACCCTTGTTCAAATGAATTTTTACATCAGCTTTCTAACTCTTGTGGTATGGTTGTGTATGCTCCGTCACAACTAGCTGCTGAGCGAAGGCAAAAACTCATGGGCCACTTGCTCAGGCACCCTAACACCCATGAACATACAGTGTGCTTTAACTCAGCCCACTCCTATAGATTGTTGGCCAACTCAGAATTTAGACGAGGGCGCCCGTGACTGTACTGGGCTGAATTAACTCTAACTGAAGCCTACAGGCGTTTGTTTCTTCGTTCAGAGGGTATGCTCCCGGTTTCCGACATATATCCAATTTTTACGCACTCCCCACTGTGCAGGAAATAGAGCAGCATCATGGTCTTTCAGCGCTGAGCTGGGGTCATAATGTTATGTTTTTTAGGCCGTTGCAACAAGCAAATCGTAAGCGCCAGGAATGGCGCTCCATAACTGGAAAACACCTTCCCATGCGTGTTCGGGCTTAGCCCACTACCCATTGGTACCACTGTCCATTGGAACACTACCCATGGAATACTACCCATGGAATACTACCCATGGAATACTACCCATTGGTTAGATAGAACACTGCCACCCAATTTTGTAATTTAGATTTCAACAACAGAAAACATCAATACGCGGTCTCTTTTATCTGTCACTGTTAACTCAATCCAAAGTTCATTTTTTGTCTACTTGTGAAACCTATTTACTCCGTCCTAACTTTTTTCTGGAAGAGGCACTTTTGCCGAGCCTGCCAGGACTGCAGTCGTCACGGTTCTTTCGCTTTGGAAAAAAATCAATTAAATCGTATTCAATTCCTTTAAATGGCATTAAAAATCATTAAATCGCTTAAAATCCATTAAAGCGCATTAGATTCCATCAAGTCCGCCGATTAGATTCCATGATTTCCCATTGAATTCCCATTGAAATCCCATTAACCCCCATTAAACCACCATTTTAAAATCACATCAAAATCACATTCACCTCTCATTTTCCCGATGAAAACCTCCCTTTTCCATTTCCACGGGATTTCCCAGACCTTTCCAGCCCTTTTTCAACGCACGCCGTTTGGGGCCCCGAGGCGTGGCTTTGGAGGTGGACTGGCAGCACATGGTGGCGGCCTCTTCGGCCGCCGAGTATCGCTTCATCCTGTGGGATTTGGAGCGGCTTCGGCGGATGATTTCCATCGAAAATTCACCGGGATGTACCGGGCCATTTTTCTGTGAACGAACTGTACCAAGTCACCATTTCTAAGAGGTAACTCCTGTTACTGATCATCATAGATAACAAATGGTGATCATCATCTTTCAAATGGTGATGTTCACTAACTCACCATTTGTAAATCACCAGTAAAATCACAATTCGTACTGAGTTGGTTCTCGTGATTCGAATGGTTCGAGTGGTGAAAAACACTGGGTGACTTTAATGGATGATATAATGGATGAGAATGGTGCTTCTAGTGGTGATTCGATTTGCAGAAGAAAAATGATGGTACGATGGAGATTCTTGGATGATTACGTGGGGGATCATCCTGGATTATAAATACGATTGATTATAACTATAGTGGTCACTATAGCTATACTCCTTGTAAAATCCATCGCACTTAGTTGTTTTGAAATGGGCGAACTATGGTTGGATGATCTGGAGGATTGGGGGTGATTAGCCTCTAGTAATCAAGCCTAGCAATGGGATATATATATACGTATATAAATAAATATATATATATACATATATATATTGGACATCAAACAGAGATTGGGGGTGATTACCTTCTACCATCTAGTGATTACCCCATATGTGTATATATATATAGAGGATTTTTCCCATTCAAACGTGTATTAGGGGGTGTTCTCATTGCCATGATCATCCTATTTGCCCGTTGAAAAGAAAGTAGGTTTTTACTGGAGGGTAAATATAGAAATGGCTGAACTATGGTTTGGGACTTGCCCATTTTGCGCCATCATTGTTCTGAGGTCAATCTTGGTTGGGCATTTTAAACACATGATCAGGGGGGAAAACAGGTCATACCCACTAAGCAATATTCGAATACTTTTCTTTTGTGGTTCTACATCAGATTGCAAAGAATCCCAGCATGTAAGGAACTTTCCACCCTGGGCTAGTTTCTGTTATTTCGCGGACCAACTCATTTGGTGTTTTTGTCTACCCTCTGGTTATGTCAAAATAGCTATTGAAAATCGCCATTTTTCATGGGAAAATCCACTATTTCAATGACCATTTTCAATAGCTTTTTGTATGTTTACCAGAGGGTAATTTCTGCTGCTTATATCAGGGGTGGGGTCCTCTGGTCTGCCAAGTGAGATCCAATGAGTAGCTGCAAGTTATGCAAGTCATGACGCCAGCACCGAGGGAACGGAAACTCATACAAAGATACGACTCTCCGGGGCACAACGTGAACTGACGCCTGGCTTTGCGGTGGAGTTTTTTTTTGGGGAAGTCTCCTGAAAAATTTTCGCGAAGATGAAATACAAACCCACATGAAACCCTGGTGAAATTTATTGGAATTTATAAAATTGGTGTCCCTAAAATTCTGGTTCACTATCAGGGGCCGAGATGGGCCTGGCATTCAATTCTCCAACATGGCACTAGGCAAATAGCCACATATGAGGACCAAAACAAGACTTGATATATGCGTAGGGGTCTAAGCAATATTTTTCTGGTTTATTTCATGCATTCACAACGATAGGTGCGTCCAAACATTGCCTGAAAAGCCGCTTTCCATACTCAAGACGACCGGCAACTGGTAGACAAACCAGACAGATGAGCCAACACTTGAGTGGTTTTGACAAAACATTTGATGTATATTCCAAGGCCCATGGAGAGTCTCTTAGACATGACTTTTCCACATCCTGCGGATGGTGCCTTAGTTGTGCACGCCAAAACCGACTCGGTTGTACACGCGAAAAACTACTCAGATATGCACGCGGATGATGATGATGATGATGATGATGGTGATGGTGATGGTGATGGTGATGGTGATGGTGATGGTGATGATGATGATGATGATGATGGTGGTGGTGGTGGTGATGGTGATGGTGATGATGATGATGATGATGATGGTGATGGTGATGGTGATGGTGATGATGATGATGATGGTGATGGTGATGGTGATGATGATGATGATGATGATGATGATGATGATGATGATGATGGTGGTGGTGATGATGATGACGATGGTGATGATGGTGATGATGATGATGACGATGACGATAATGATGTGAGGGTAAGTCGAAGGAAGTCCAATAGCGGTTGTGTCCCTATAATGAAGTTGAAGAAAGGTTGTGGCTGGTACCCCACCCCCCAAGGTTGAAGTGTGATGGTAAGTCGAAGGAAGTCGAGTAGCGGTTGTAGTAGCGGTTGTGTCCCTATAATGAAGTTGAAGAAAGGTTGTGGCTGGTAGATCCTACCCTTATCTTCCCTAGCCCCACCCCGGCCCACCCCACCCCCCAAGGTTGAAGTGTGATGGTAAGTCGAAGGAAGTCGAGTAGCGGTTGTAGTAGCGGTTGTGTCCCTATAGTGAAGTTGAAGAAAGGTTGTGGCTGGTAGATCCTACCCTTATCTTCCCTAGCCCCACCCCACCCCCCAAGGTTGAAGTGTGATGGTAAGTCGAAGGAAGTCGAGTAGCGGTTGTAGTAGCGGTTGTGTCCCTATAATGAAGTTTAAGAAAGGTTGTGGCTGGTAGATCCTACCCTTATCTTCCCTAGCCCCACGCCGGCCCACCCCACCCCCCAAGGTTGAAGTGTGATGGTAAGTCGAAGGAAGTCGAGTAGCGGTTGTAGTAGCGGTTGTGTCCCTATAATGAAGTTGAAGAGAGGTTGTGGCTGGTAGATCCTACCCTTATCTTCCCAAGCACCACCCCGGCCCACCCCACCCCCCAAGGTTGAAGTCTGATGGTAAGTCCAAGGAAGTCGGGTAGCGGTTGTAGTAGCGGTTGTGCCTCTATAATGAAGTTGATGAAAGGTTGTGGCTGGTAGATCCTACCCTTATCTTTTCCCACCCCCACCCCACCCCCCCCAGTGATGGTACGTCGAAGGAAGTCGAGAGCGGTTGTAGTAGCTGTCCCTATAATGAAGTTGAAGAAAGGTTGTGGCTGGGAGATCCTACCCTTATCTTCCCTAGTCTCACCCCGGCCCACCCCACCCCCAAGGTTGAAGTGTGATGGTACGTCGAAGGAAGTAGCGGTTGTAGTAGCGGTTGTGTCCCTATAATGAAGTTGAAGAAAGGTTGTGGCTGGGAGATCCTACCCTTATCTTCCCTAGTCTCACCCCGGCCCACCCCACCCCCCAAGGTTGAAGTGTGATGGTAAGTCGAAGGAAGTCGAGTAGCGGTTGTAGTAGCGGTTGTGTCCCTATAATGAAGTTGAAGAAAGGTTGTGGCTGGTAGATCCTACCCTTATCTTCCCTAGCCACCAGCCGCGTCGATGGATGATGTGAAGGCAGCTCTGCAGTCACTATAAGTTGCATTAGTCTGCATTGGTCTGCATTATTCTTTGACACGGGTCATTATTCTCGATGCCCCTATTCTGCCGATATTATTCGATATTTGTGCATTATCTTCCGATATTCGACGTTCTTCTCCACGCCGCTCGGGCCTGCAAGAGTTGACACTAGTCTGCACCAGTCAAGCTGTTTTTCTTTGGTGGTACAAACCCCCTTTTGCAAAGCCACTCAGGGGAGACACAGTGGGAATAAGTAATAACCAAAGTTCCACCTATTGAGACAAAGGGGCGAGGGGTGTTGGGGAGGGACCCTTTTTTTGGTCCCCGTCAGATATAAATATTTGCGGTCCTGGACACTTTGGGTCTGCCGGCTCAGGTATCGGGATATCTCGCGTCTCTGGTCTGCATTCATCCCTGCGCGTGAGGCGTGCTCGGGCATCTTCTGTCTGTTGTATATACTGCATAAAACCCTCAGTACAAACACTCATGCACCGGTGTAAAGTCACTATCCATTTATAGGCTTAATTCTGCCTGTTTTGTGACGCCGGGCCAGGCCCGTCGCCTTCGACGCCACTGCCTCGTTCCCCACGCGTGATCTTTGCCTCGCGTCCAAGCCTCAAAGCTTCCATGTGTCGACTGCAGTGCATCAGCCATGTTGATACCGTCGCATGTTGAACCTTTGCATAGATGTGTGACCTGCCCGCAGCAATTTCCAAGCTTTAAAGCTTTCTGCCTTTCAGCGACTTTCAAGTGCCCTTGCTCCTTTGTCCGCGCCTCAGATCAAAGCTTCCACTTTTGTGCTCCGCTTATGTATTCTTTTCCTGTATATCTATCGCCGGTCCCCCAGGCAATGGCTTGCATTGGCGACGTGACCTTGTTCAAGGGCAGCTGGGCCGACGTTGCGTTGGAGGAGGCGCGTTTCGAATGGTGCACCGGCGTGTGCACCTGAATCGTCGTGTGCCTTGCTGCATGCCAGGTTCCAGTGCCGTTGGAGGCACGGCTGCTTGCTTTCGGGCTTGGAAAGTAGGGCGGCTGCCACATCCCGTCCTGACAGGACTACGTCCTCCAAAATGAGGCACTGCTGGACGAGCTCCAGGAGGCGGTGGAGGCCCCGCGGTTTTGGATGGTTTTGGGATAACATCCCGTCGCGTTAATCCGATTAGTTTGCTTGCCACCTGTCAGGTCCCTTTCGAGGCGACACGCACCTCCTTCACCTTGGGCGGCTCGGCCACGAAGAAGGCAGAGTCGCTGATAGCGTCTTATCTTCAGAACAATTTAAACTGTCCTGGTCTTGGCCGTGCAGGCACCGCGCCGTCGCGGTGGTACCTTCGTGGCAATGGAGCCGGAGAAGAATAAGCGCGCCAGCGCTGCAGCCTCAGTCCGTCTGTCCCAAGGTTGAAGTGTGATGGTAAGTCGAAGGAAGTCGAGTAGCGGTTGTAGTAGCGGTTGTGTCCCTATAATGAAGTTGAAGAAAGGTTGTGGCTGGTAGATCCTACCCTTATCTTCCCTAGCCCCGCCCCGGCCCACCCCACCCCCCAAGGTTGAAGTGTGATGGTAAGTCGAAGGAAGTCGAGTAGCGGTTGTAGTAGCGGTTGTGTCCCTATAATGAAGTTGAAGAAAGGTTGTGCCTGGTAGATCCTACCCTTATCTTCCCTAGCCCCACCCCGGCCCACCCCACCCCCGAAGGTTGAGTGTACAAGGGAGTCAATTTTGTGTGCACATGGGGAATTGATCGGTCAAGACGTAAGGAGCTAGATCAACCCCCCATGGCCTTGGATGATGTGTGTTGGATTGGGATGGTTTCATCGGACAACACATCCACCAAAGATATCAAAAACCATTTCAACCTGGATTGGAAAGGAGGCTTGCAACTACGCCAAAAAGATAGAACAAATAAAATTCGACCAAAAAACAAGTTCTTTGGCGTTTTTTTTGTATCTTTTTGGGTGGTTGCTCTTTAGCGAGCCAACGAAATTGTTTTTTTGTTGAAGGCCTTAGCCTCAACACAGAGGAGGGCACATTGGCCACCGGTGTCTTGGTCAAAATGCAGGAGACCCTTGCAGCCAATTTCATCCCAACGATGGCCATTGATCCTGGAGAAGCATATGTATATGTATATACATATGGGATATATATATATATATACATATATTATGGGATATACATATATATATATATATATGTATATACATGGGATATATATATATATTGTATATATATATATATATTGGATATATATATAGGCTATATAGGTTATATATATATATGTGTTTACATGGGATATATATATATATGGGATATATAAATATGATTGTAAATACATGGTATATATATACACTTATGTATGGGATATATATATATATACACATGGGATATATATATATATGTATGTATGGGATGTGTATATATATATATACACATACATACACGCCGTTCATTGGGAACATTTCAGAGCGCAACTGTTATCCATTGCCAGTCATTGGGTGCTTGCGGAACCCCTTCAACATCCATTGCCAGCCCTCATCGTGTCCATGTCAGGTGGTTTTTGCATTTGCGGATGGCCACGGGTGGTGAGCTAACTATTATTTCACCACAATAACCCAAGTAATTCATTATCCATTAATTTTTGAACTGGGGATATTCCATACATATATATATATAGACAACTGGCTTACACTATTGCCATACGACATATGAAAAATAAAAAGCTGGCTTACAACTGGCTCTAGATTCTACAGACATATATGTGATAAATATATGTGATAAATATATGTGATAAATATATGTGATAAATATATGTGATATATATATATATATCCATATTGGTTCGTTTCTCCCAAACAGGAGCTTCCCTAGGCTCGGACGATGGCTTAGTGAAGCTCTGGAACTTGGCCGCGGACGAAGCCTCGGACTGCGACAGCCGCGACAGCCGCGACAGCTGGCAGAACGCTTGGGAGCCTTGGAGGGGAAGGGGGTTTACTGCATGGGTCATTAAATGTCCCCATTGAACATCACCCAACCATTAGGTATATGGTCTATAATGGCTACTATAAGGTGATGTCCAATATTCCCAAAATGGGACAGTTACCAACCCCTGTACTGGGTTTAGCTGCTCTGGTTCTTGGTTAACTATGGAAGCTATGGAAACCATAGAAATAGATGATTTACCGAAAATGGTGTTTTGTTCGATATGTTAAATTAGCAAAGGGCATTTTTATCAACAATAAATCATTATTGTCATTCTTACCATTTTTGCAAGATGATATGATGTGGTGTGCTTGTGTTTTTTCTTATCGTTTGAGTTATTGCCATGATGTGGTTGACGTGGAACGCTGTGTTCTCTGTCGAGGAACGGTCTATCGATTGCAAGCACCACATGACGTTGGCCATGGATGTGGATTGGTCGCGCAAGAAACTGGTGACTGCCTCCTGGGATTACAACGTGGACATGTGGGATCTGCAGACAGGTTGGGCTTGGGGGCTGAGTTACTGGAGGCGAAACAAATGGGAGATGTTTGAGATGTTTGAACAATTTGCAGGAGATCTAATGGGAAAGTATTGTGATCGTATTTGCCTGAGGAGTCAGGGGGAATCTGAGAAAAATCATGCACTGGAAGCTGTTTTTTAATGGTTTCCTCATTGAAGATGGCCATTCTCGGGTGCCAAGATTGTGGCTGGGAGCACTATCCCATGGACCGTCTCTGATTTTCCACTTTTTTACGCCATTTGACACGAGTGTCAGCCTTTCTTTTTCACCCCCTGATGTGCATATGTACCAGACAAAATCGCCGGTATAGGGGATTCATGCAGTGTTCAGGTGTCAACTCCCCACCAACCATCCAATAACTCCTGGATTTCTACCGCTGAAGGTGATCATTTGCATCACTTCTTCAAGCCCAGAAGGTGCATGACGCAGGTCCGCATGAAGATCCTCGGTGCGGATGGATTTTGGTCGGTTTGGAATGTCCATCTTATGATCAGCTAAGATTAACAGGGAAAAACTGTCTTGGATTAGCCAAGATTAGCCAAGATTAGCAGCAAAAAAAGTTGAACACATTTTTCGCCCCCGTTTTTCGTCGTGAGCTTTCACATGGCGCTCCTAGGAAAGCGTGCGATGCGCCATGAACCGGTCAAGCTTGGCCCTTCCTAGGAGCAGTGAGGTTGGCCAATGTGGCCAAAGGTTGCTACGCCAAAACCTGTTCGACATCGATTCTTTTAAACGTTTTTTCGTTCGTCGGAGATGTTGCTGTGTACAAAGTATCTGTCCATCAAAGGTAATGGACTGTTGGAATGCTCGCTGTAGATGGCTTGCAAAAGTGATGAGCACACATCCCCCCCACAGTCAACAACGTCTTGTGGTAGCAACGGCGGTTAGGGATTCCAATCCCGTATCCTTACTGGTGAGCGGGTATCCCTTTGAAAATTATTGGTTAGTATCGAAACGTACAGACTCCCGAAAAGGCTTCCAAGTAATATTCTGCCGTTCAAACAACAAGCTGGAAGTGAACACGAACACATCATGAAGAACTTTCAAACTATGAACACCCATCAACTGCAGCACAGTGATCTACTTCCACTTCATGTTTTCGCATCAATTTATATCATATTTTCCAGTAAAGCAGCCCCAATGATCGAAAAGTCCTCATTTCCAATCTCCAAGCCAAGTGGCTTTTTTTCGGATGTTCTGCTGCTTTCATCCATCTTTTCAACACGAACCAATATGGCGTTGTCTGAAAATAGGGTACCTTGGTTCATCAATAACGGTTAACCATATTACGTTTCCCATTTTTATGCTATTTTTATTGGGGGTCATCATATGAGTGACCAAAAATTGGGTACCTCTAAATCCATAAGGGTTAACCATATGATGTTTCAGACAGACGGCCAGGCCTGGTCCTCAGAAGACGGGCAGCTGCATGCAGAGGCGGGTGGTTCCCAAGATTTCTTCGGTTGGGGGTTCCTGAAGCAAATCCAAGACTAGGACTAAACATAGCATATATATATATGCAGATATATATATATATATATATGTAAGCATACTACTGTCTAGCTTATATATGTATATATATATAATTATCAAAGGAAGTTGGGAAGCAATACTTCCGCGTTACGGACAAATAGAATTGTGAGACTTGACCTTGATGAAGGGTGGTGTGAGACTTTGCACTACATAACAATACATCACAAAAGAATTGACCTTGATGAAGGGCGGTGTGAGACTTTGCACTACATAACAATACATCACAAAAGAATTGACCTTGATGAAGGGTGGTGTGAGACTTTAAACTACATAACAATACATCACAAAAGACTTGACCTTGATGAAGGGTGGTGTGAGACTTTACACTACATAACAATACATCACAAAAGAATTGACCTGCATGAATGTTGCATGGGGCTTGTGTTGGGGAGGAAGCCGGAGCACGAAACCTTGTATTTTTCCGTGTAAAGTGGCTGCAGCCGGCGATGAAAGGTACCTCCTGTGTGCGGCGGGTGCGGTTTGGATCGTTTCGAGGTCAATCGGTTCCTCCTCTGTGTTCTGCAATGAGTGGTTGTTCCTGTGTGCGTAGTTCTTTGCGTTTCTTGAACCTGTGGTTGCAGATCGCATTGGAATGGCTGCATGATTGTTGTCATGTGGTGTTGCCATGTGTGTAGACAGATGCGGGTTAGCCACCTGATGCTGCAAAATGCATTGTAATGGCTGCATGAATGTTGCATGGGCTTTGTTTTGGGGAGGAAGCCGGAGCACGAAACCTTGTATTTTTCCGTGTAAAGTGGCTGCAGCCGGCGATGAAAGGCACCTCCTGTGTGCGGCGGGTGCGGTTTGGATCGTTTCGAGGTCAATCCGTTCCTCCTCTATGTTCTGCAACGAGTGGTTGTTCCTGTGTGCGTAGTTCTTTGCGTTTCTTGAATCTGTGGTGGTCGCAGATCGCATTGGAATTGCTGCATGATTGTTGTCATGTGGTGTTGCCATGTGCGTAGATGCATGCGGGTTAGCCACGTCATGTTCTGCAACGAGTGGTTGTTCCTGTGTGCGTAACGCTTGAATCGCAGATGTGGAATGGCTGCATGAACGTTGCATGGGCTTTGTTTTGGGGCGGAAGCCGGAGCACGAAACCTTGTATTTTTCCGTGTAAAGTGGTTGCAGCCGGCGATGAAAGGTACCTTGTGTGTGCGGCGGGTGTGACCGGGGTCGTTCCGGACGCGAATGTGTTCCTCCTCTGTGTTCTGCAACGAGTGGTTGTTCCTGTGTGCGTAGTTCTATTCGTGTCTTGAATCCGTGGTCGCAGATCGCAGTGGAATGGCTGCATGATTGTTGCCATCTGGTGTTGCCATGTGTGTAGAGAGATGCGGGGTAGCCACGTGATGCTGCTAAATGCATTGTAATGGCTGCATGAATGTTGCGTGGGGCTTGTTTTGGGGAGGAAGCCGGAGCACGAAACCTTGTATTTTTCCGTGTAAAGTGGTTGCAGCCGGCGATGAAAGGTACCTCGTATGTGCGGGCGGGTGCGGCTGGGGTCGTTTCAGACGCGGATGTGTTCCACCTCTGTGTTCTGCAACGAGTGGCTGTTCCTGTGTGCGTAGTTCTATTCGTGTCTTGAATCTGTGGTTGCAGATCGCAGTGGAATGGTGTTGCCATGTGTGTAGAGAGATGCGGGTTAGCCACCTGATGCTGCAAAATGCATTGTAATGGCTGCATGAATGTTGCGTGGGGCTTGTTTTGGGGAGGAGGCCGGAGCACGAAACCTGGTGTTTTTCCGTGTAAAGTGGTTGCAGCCGGCGATGAAAGGTACCTCGTTTGTGCGGGCGGGTGCGGCTGGGGTCGTTTCAGACGCGGATGTGTTCATCCTCTGTGTTCTGCAACGGGTGGCTGTTCCTGTGTGCGTAGTTCTATTCGTGTCTTGAATATGCGGTTGCAGATCGCAGTGGAATGGCTGCATGATTGTTGTCATCTGGTGTTGCCATGTGCGTAGATCCGTTCAGGTTTTCGACGTGATGCGGCGAAACGCATTGTAATGGCTGCGTCAAGGTTGCTTGGTGCCGCGGCTGCATGCGTAATACTATTGTCTTTTGCAGATAGTATTAGAGTGGCTGCATCAAGGCTGCGACAGTGATTTGTCAGCAGATTGTCTCAATTTTGGTGCTAGCAATTTTCCTTTTAACAGTCCTTTTAAAAAGTGCTTCAAAATCGTCTTTTTTTCGCTTTGGCGTCGAGATCCAATCCGGTTTTGGAGCTGCAATTCCTGTTGTGATTATGGGCAAGAAAGCTTCTCTGTGTAAAAACTGTTTTCTGTAAAAGCTTGCAATGTGTAAAAGATTTTGTGTGTAAAAGCTTGCTGTGTGTAAAAGCTTCTCTGTGTGTAAAAGCGTCTCTGTGTAAAAGTTTCTCTGTGTGTGTAAACGCTTGCCATGTGTAAAAGCACTGTGTGTAAGTGTTCTGTGTGTAAACGCTTGCTGCGTGTGAACGCTTGCTGTGTGTAAAAAAAGCTTCTCTGTGTAAAAGCTTGTTGTGTGTAAAAGCCTCTTTGTGTGTAAAAGCTTCTCTGTTTCAAAAGCTTGCTGTGTGCGTGTAAACGCTTGCCATGTGTAAAAGCACTGTGTGTAAGTGTTCTGTGTGTGAACGCTTGCTGTGTGTGAAAGCTTGCTGTGTGTAAAAGCTTGTTGTGTGTAAAAGCTTCTGTGAGTAAAAGCTTCTCTGTTTAAAAAGCTTGCTGTGTGTAAAAGCTTCTCTGCGAAAGAGCTTGCTGTGTGTAAAAACTTTCTTTGTGCAAGCTTTGTATCACAAAGTAGTACTGGAACGTACTTTGTGCAAGCTTTGTAGTACAAAGTAGCACTGGGAAGTGCTTTGTGCAAGCTTTGTAGTACAAAGTAGTACTGGGAAGTGCTTTGTGCAAGCTTTGTAGTACAAAGTAGTACTGGGAAGTAGTTTGTGCAAGCTTTGTGGTACAAAGTAATACTGGGAAGTAGTTTCTGCAAGCTTTGTAGTGCACAGTAGTACTGGGAAGTAGTTTGTGCAAGCTTTGTAGTACAAAGTAGTACTGGGAAGTGCTTTGTGCAAGCTTTGTAGTACAAAGTAGTACTGGGAAGTGTTTTGTGCAAGCTTTGTAGTACACTCAAGAACTTAGGTGACATATGGGAAGACATGAAATGAGATGATAAGAGCTCAGATGAGATGAGTTGAGATGAAGTGCAAGTGTGAAGTGCGAAGTGCAGGGTGTGAAGAGTGCAAAGTGAAGTGTGAGGAAAGTGTTTGCTTGGCGTTGCGTTGCACCGGGGTCGCGCGCAGGTCATGTTCTTGGACAACAACACTGCAACAGCTTCGCACAAAGCACGCACCTGGCTGGCGCACGGCGCATGCAAGTCCCTCAGTAGTAGTACTGGGAAGTGGTTCATGAAAGCTTAGATGACATATGAGAAGAGATGAGATGAGAAGAGATGAGCTGGGATAAGGTGAGAAGAGCTCAGATGAGGTGAAGTGTGGAGTGTGAAGAGTGCAGTGTGAAGTGTGGGGCGTGAAGGGTGCAGTGTGAAGTGTGAGTGTGGAGTGTGAAGTGTGGAGTGTGAAGAAAGCAGTGAGAAGTGAGAAGTGTGGACTGTGAAATGTGAAGTGTGGAGTGTGAAGTGTGGAGTCTTAAAAGTGCAGTGTGAAGTGAAGTGTGGAGTGCGAAGAGTGCAGTGTGAAGTGTGAAGTGTGGAGTGTGAAGTGTGAAATGTGGAGTGTGAAGAGTGCAGTGAGAAGTGTGAAGAGCGAAGTGGAGCTTCAAATGTGACATGTGAAACAGGACACCACTTTCGCAGAATGCACGCAAGCACGGGCTTGGCTGGCGCACGGCGCATGCAAGCTCTATAGATGAGAACGGTCTTATATATCCCTAAGGCAACTTCCGCCCCGCCTTGTGCGGGTACTACTGGTGTATGTATATATGTACGCATCATACTACTGTCTATGTTTGTAGAAGCTTTTCTTTTTGGCCATGTATACATACTCATAATAGTTTCTCAAAACTTCAAAAGACCATATGTGAAATGGTCAGCTCATGGCTTGCGTTCCCTGGGCAATGGATGACCATACCCCGTATACCATATTCTGATCATGGCGTTTGAATCAGGGGTACACATGTTATATATATATATGTATATAGCAGGCTACATATACTGTCAAACACCATGGTTGATGAGTGATTTGATGGAGATTTAAACATCAAGAATTGATGGAATTGAACAATGATGGTTGGTCTGTAGTTAACAGGAATAAAGTGGGCATAGCTGGATCTTCATCTCACCAAATATGGTATCATTGTTTCCTTACGCATCCGCATGTGGTGAACCCAAATGGTGAACCCCTGTACCCCAGCATTGGTTAAAGGGACAACTTACAGGACAGATACTAAATGTATACTGTTCAAAACTATGGTTTCCTGAAATTCTTCCCTCAGGCCAAAGCAATGATAGTGTCATTTTGAGCTTTATTTGATCCCCAAAATGGTGAAATGTATGGTTTATGGTTGGGCTTTACCATCTTCGATTCATGGGTTTATTGTGCAGGGCAACGAAGGTTAGCTCTGTGGGAAAATCCATGTGGCTACAACTCTTTTGCGCATCACCGCATCGGGGATGCTTTGGAGCTTTTACCACAGCCATCCCATTTTTCCAGCGGTCAGCTTGAGGGTTGAATCCTTGGTGATAGCGGCAGGCGATCAGGACGCACGTGGGCAAGGTCAAGACCTTGCTTACCATGGGCAAGGAGATTGGGCGCATGGGGCATGAAATTAAAGAAAACATATAGCAACCTCATGGCACGAGAGATTTTAGTACAATCCGAGTCCAACATTTCAATTTTTTTTCAGTTACTGTATATAATATATAATTACAAAGAGATGCCTGCAAGTTCGGATTTTGCAAGCTATGTAAAAACTCTTTTGGTGAAGAGTTGGTGAATGGGTGAATATGTTGAAGGGCCAAGACATGTTGACAACGATTGTAGACCGCCAATAAAACCGAAGGACATCTCAACATGTCGTTGATTCTGTCAACATGTTTCGGATGCGGAAGGAAACCGGGGTAAAGCACTATCACATCTCCAACTCATGCAAGACGATATTGACCAAGACGTGGGCCTGATGCATTTCCCCAACAAAATCTGGCCAGCATGTCGATGGGCATACGGTTTGTTCTTGAAACATCCAGAATGTTCCAGGTCTTGATTCTTGGTCTATGTATAATATATATATATATATATACACACACCCGATACGAATCCCAAAAAAAAATATAATTTGTGGTATAACCACACACACATATATATATAATTACTAAGCAGTTACGATCCGTGGTGTAATCCTGAACGTATCACAATTTTTCATTGTTTCGTCAACAGAACTACTACGGAACCCATGGTCTATCTCCATAAGTTACAGAACTAGAACATGTATATCTATATATATATATAAATGATAATGATACCTATTCACCATCAACTATAGTGATACATGATACCTCTGGACCTTTTTTTGGTATCTAAACTATTTTGTGATACCTTTTTGGTAAGACCCCAACGTTCTGACCGCCCAGGAGGTTCACGAGGTGGCACTGGAGCAAGCTTCGAAGGCCGCCCTGAAGCTCAAGGAGTCGTCACAAGGGCGTCGTCGTTTGGGCGTGAATCCAACGAGAGCCCAGGTGGTATCCATAACAGCAAAGGTGGGGAAAGTATGACAGCCAGTGAAGAATATCGTTGGGGATTTTGGGATTTCATATCTTGAAATCATTGGGGATAGTGGGGTATAGATAGTGTTTTGAGCCAACCGTAAAGTGCAATTCCTTAGAATTGATGGGTCATCGGAGACCCAGCGCTTGGATGGGACTTTACTTGTTTGTTTTGCCAGCGTTGGGAACTATGGGCTGGAAAGCTGATAAAGCTGATAAAGAGATCTAGTTATAGACCGGGAAGCTAATGGAACAAGAGGTGCGCTGATTGGGTCAGATTTGGTGCAAACAGTGGCAGGTCCATCTAGGTCCATCTAGGTTTGGTGCAAACAGGGCGAGTGACGGTGGAACCTTGCCAGCCAGCTGCCACCGGAATGTGTCCATTTTGCCGCCAGGACTCCAGCAAACTCTTTTCTTCCGGGGAAGGCAGCAAGCAGAAGGTGGCTGCCCGGCCTTTTGCCAGGACTCTGTGATTCCTTGCCAAGCAGCCAAGCCGCTTGATGTTCATGGGGTCAGAATAGTAGTAATATTACTAAGTAATAATATTGGATATTGCTGCTTACTACTGGGCGGATATTCCTACTAAGCAGTCATCGCCAGCCAGGTCCAATCGGTCGCCCAGAAGGCGCAGACAGTCAAGGAGACGGCCTCGGCCGGTGCGGCGGCCCGGGCTGGTCTGGAGCGTGGTCTGGAAATCCCGTTGTTGAAGTGTGCATTTTCATGGGAACATATGGGAACATGTCATAGAATTCATCTTAAATGGAGATTACTTCACTGGATTTTCCATGGTTGATTACCAGATTAGTAGGTGAAACTGTGATTTTCAAGAATGAATAACATCTATTTTGAATGGGTATGTGTTTCACATTTTTGGTGATGAATATGTTTTTGGTTGAAGTCCTTTAGTGTCAAAATTGTATGTATGCGGAGGGCAGTCAAAATCTGGCTTAGGGCTTTCAAATATTTATGACTACCACATGAATTGGAAGTATGGTTGGGAACCATAAAGATAAATCTGGTTGAAAGTCAAGTATGGTTGATTATGTATATATATATATACGTTAGCTGGATTGGAAAGTACGTAAACGCTATTTTTTAAGATGTTGCCTACGAGGCGCGCGGGTAGCAAACGCGCGGTGCGCAATGGGGTGCGCAAGTGGAATGCGCGTGCGCGCGCGCAGGATTTGAAAAGTGAACGTGCCAACGCGCGGGTGAACGCGCAAATGCGCAAGTGGGGTGCGGGAGTGAACGCGCAAGTACGCGAGCAGAGTGCGCGGATCAACGTGTAGCTGCGTACTTTCACTTTTCCGTTTTTAAGGTCATACAATTTACCAAATATTTATGGCCATACTTTCAAACATGCCAATGGATAAGGCCATATTAATTTAGTTGGCTCCAGGAATGCGTAAACAGGGTTTTTTGAATATTTGGCAACGTACTGCAGGTAGAGGTGCGCGCACAGGGTAGTGCGCTAGTGAGCGCGCAAGTGGTGCAGAGAGCGCAGTATGTACACTTGATCCAAAACGAACAAACATTAAAAAAATATTCAACTTTCATAGTGTGTCGTGGTAAACTGTTCCTTTGCAGTACTTCACATCATCTTGTAGCTTCGTGTTCAAGCATGTTTTATTTAGATCATCGCTTTTCAGACTGTGTCTTGACAATTTTTCTTTTCAGGTGGTATCTTTGCCGGGTAAAGTCTTTTCAGGTCATGTCTTTGCAGGTCGCTGATCTTTTCAGATTCTATGCTTCTATCTTGGCAGATAAAATGCAATGTTTCTTTCATGTAACAAGCTGTATCCAGTTTGATTTCTCGCGTGTCCAACTACATACATACCCTTTTTGGCTTCCAAACCGTACAAACCGTTGCTAGTTCCCAAAGGTTGGTGTGTCAGTACTAACTGCTATCAATAGTCAATAGACCAAGAGGTGGTGGTGGGCACGGGTGGGGCGGCTGGGGTCACCTAAAGTCTTGAAAATTCATATCATTCCAACCCAACAGGTATATACTAGAACGGTGCGAAGCACGTTCCCCTCTTGACGTCATGCAGCCTTACTTTTCTTACCTTGGGAATTGACTTTTCATGAAAAACAGAACTTTTTAAAACATGTGAAGGTACAATCCAGTTGCGTAATCTCTAGGGGAAGGATATGCGCGTACTGTCTCTAAACTTCTGCAAGTCAAGAAGTGTAAACATACATTCATACTTGTGAAAACTTCAGGACTTCATCGAAAAGTTCTCCAGTAAACGAAGTTCAAACACCTGAAAACACAGACCAGCCTCGATTTAAGACATTTTAGAATTCTACAGTTTCTCCAGCTTCGCGAGTTTCAAAAACTTAAAGCCGTGTACCCGCCAAGAATTGTGACGCTTCAGAAATTGTCTCCAGTTTCTGAAGTTCACCAATTTGAAACTTACCCCTTCCCAGAGTTGAGGCACTCCAAAAGCTGAGAGTTTCTCCAACTGAGAGCTTCGCAAACTAGAACAATCCAAAGGGTTGAAAATTCCTCCCTACTGAATGTTGAGGCTGCAGAACTTATTTTTCCAATTTAGGAAATTCAAACAGTGATTTTGTTCCTTCCCGATTGTTGAGACACTTTACAAGTTGAAATCTTCTCCAATGAAGGGCTTCTCCAAAGTTAACAAGTTCGGACGTTTGAAGATGCACACCTGCCCGAAGTTGAGCTACGTTGTGAGTCTCCAAAATCAAAGAAAAACTTCCGAACATGTCACTGTTTATACCTGTTAAAAAGTGAGACTTCAGAAAGATGAGAATTTCTCCAGCTCATTATTTTTGAATACTTGATAACTTATTCCTGCCAAAAGTTGGCCACTTCGTCCGTTTCTCCTATTCAATAAGTTCAACAAATTGAGGATTGATAATTTCTTCCCGAGAAGTTGAAACACTTCCCAACTTGATAGTCTCTCCAAGCTCAAACAGTCGAAAGCAATTGTCTCATGTATTTCACTAGGTTGGATTCTTGATGCAAAGCAAACATCACAATATCTAGGCAATTCAGCGAATGAAGGCATTTCCAAAAAACACATGCAATATGTAGAAAAGCAGACAGTATTAAAACCATGAAACACTCAAGATCACAGAAAAAATCGCACAACTAGAAAACCTCAAAATTCATTCATGTTCATAGACATGTTTATCGACAATGTAATTCCTTAACTTGTTCCAAAAGTGAAACCTCCTGATTTGAAAAAACAATCAGAATTCAAAGCTTGTCCTGTTCACTTCAAGAAAACCAAACATGTAAACTTTTACTATACTTGTCAAAAAAATGCACACTTCAGCATTTGACAGCCTCTCCAACTTAACAAGTTCAAATTCTTGAAAGCATGTACCAGCAAAAAGTTGAGAGTTTCCAAAACCTGACAGCTTCTCCAGCTCAAAGATTTCAACATGTAAAAACTTATACCTGCCAAGTGCTGAGAGTCTGGCACCATCTTAAGCCTAAAAAAACTTTCGAAAACGTATATGCCTGCCAGAAGTTGAAAACTCAGCAAGTGACAGCTTATCCAATCTCAAAAGTTCAAACAATTGAACTTAACTTATCCCAAAGTTCAGACCCGTCAGAGATTAAGATCTTCTCCTAGCGAGAGCTTCTCCCATTCAAGAATCTCAATCACTTGAAGACTGTCACCTGCATAAACTTGAAATGCTTCCGGAACTGAGAGCTTCTCTGATCCCGGTGAGAGTTTGTCCAAATTTAGGGAAGTTAATTTTATGGCTGTCAACATTGCAAAATTGCACGAATGAGGAACTTCTCAACAAACAAGTTCAACATTTTCCAAACCTTTACCTCACAAAAATTGCGGGCCTTCAAGTAGAGAGTATCTCCAATTTGAGAACATCAACAGTTGGTAGAACTCACATTAGCCAAAAAAACAGAAAAGGGTTTCTACATCAAACGCGTCTTGTTGGTAGACACACTCGTGAATTCAACCTATATAGTTTGTTTTTTGTTCGAAACATGGTTGGTGTGTTGTTCCTGCATCATGTCCCAAGCACAAAAAACAATCCCGAGATATCATAGCGTGTTTCGATATGGTGATTTCCAGGACAGTTTCCTACCTAAGCAATTGCGCGCAGGAAATATTCTTTTCGGGAAATGTCCTTTTCCAACCAAACCGTTTTTTCTGTACAATCCTTTGCCGGAGATGAAGATTTAGTATGTATATGAACATATGTTTCCGTGAAAGAAATTAATTTCAGCTAGCTGGAAACTTTTTGCCAGCAACAGCATTTTACGGGTTTCCTTTTTCAGATGCTTTCTTATCTTTTTGTCTGAGTCAGGACTTTTCCTTTCAGAATCATTTTTGTCCAATCCGTTTTTGATTTCTCTTTCAAAACCATTTTCCACAAACTTCCCTTTCAACATCTTCCGTCTCAAGATATACAGTAAGATTGCAAGAACTTTTTCAAAAGCGTCCGTTTGAAGAGCTTCATGATCAGCATCAACATCATCCTAAACAATATTTTCTTTTGTATAAAAGTACAAACATTAATTTAAATGAGTTCTTCGCACAAATCATAAAAGTGGTGAAATTGATGTACAAGAAAGGTTCCCCTAGAAATGGAAAACACCGGATACTCACTCGTTACGAAGAATTCATCAATTGTAACCCAGAAATAACGCACCCAAACATGTAATATTACAATTTTCAGTGGGCGATCTCCCTAGTCATGCTCCGAACCAACTCAAGCTGTGGTTCTGGCTTGACTAGCGAACTGCCCAGCGCAACAGACATGGGGTCAAACAAAAAGGGATGGCGATATGAGGTGGCATGTGTTGAACTGTGAAAGAGTGAATGTGGAACCATATGCGCGCTCACATGCACACCTGCATGCGCACATGTTGGTGCACCTGTACGCTCACCTGTTCACCTGCGCGCTCACCTGTTCACTCACCTGCGCGTTTTCGCTTGCGCGTTTTTAAGGTCATATTTGAGGCCAGAATATGGGCTTAAACATGAACATGTTCAAGCCCATATTCTGGCCTCAAATATGACCTTAAAAACGCGCAAGCGAAAACGCGCAGGTGAGTGAACAGGTGAGCGCGCAGGTGAACAGGTGAGCGTACAGGCTGGCATACAGGTGAACGTGCGAGCAGGCAGGTTGTAAGTACATGCGTTGAGACAAGTGCAGGCAATACCTCATGGTGTTTTGGGACAGTCATATTTGACTGAAACTGCGTGCTTGAACTGAATGAACACTAGGTACATTTACAAAATAAGAGTGAATTACAGCCCTGGGTGTTGGAACTTAACTTTGCATATCGTTTGAAGCCATACGTGTTGAGTTAACATGATTTTTTTCTAAATTCATTAGTTTGTTGTTTCCAAACTGAAAAACATGGTTAAGATCCGTTTTTTATGCGTGTGTTTACTTTTTACGTATATACTCCCCATCATTTTGCAGTTTCGTGTCCATCCATGTTTTGTTCAGATCATCCATGTTTTTTCTTCAGATGGTATCTTTGCCGGGTAAAGTCTTTTCAGGTCATGTCTTTGCAGGTCGCTGATCTTTTCAGATTCTATGCTTCGATCTTGGCAGATAAAATGCAAAGTTTCTTTCATGTAACAAGCTGCATCCAGTTTGATTTCTCACGTGTCCAACTACAGTACCCTTTTTGGCTTCCAAG